TAATTTTTAGCAGATGAGGAGTCTTTTCGCGATAGGACTGGTTTTTTGACCGGGTCGGCTTATGTTCCAGCTCGGGTCGCCCGTGCCAAGAGCCCGGCCCGGGGCATGTTTACTCTCTTTCGTCGACGACTTATTGCAACGAAGAGAGTGGAGGACTCATGATGGATATATTACGATCGGAGCAATACCCGGAGCCCCGACCCACGGGGCCTCGACCATTGGGCCTCGGCTCTTGGAGATTTCGGCCAGCAGTCCGCCGACCTAGACCCGGTCAAGGAGGCCCGGTCAACACGGATCCAACCGCCCCCCACCTTAGGGGGCCGGGTGGCGGTTAGGGGTGGCGGTTGTATAAAAACCCCCCACCTTGTCTCATTAAGACACATTCTACATTTCTTACACATTTTGTCCTAAGAAACTACTGTAATAGCCTATTTACGGCATTTAATACAATACACAGTCTCCAACGACCTTTACGACATCGTTTCATTTATTTATTTATTATTCATATTCTTATCCGGATTTAGTGATTCGGGTCCACCCCGGGTAATTAAATCCATCATTTGGTTATCATAAAAATAAAATAAAATAAAAAATCATCAAAATCAACTTGATCAAGCCTGCCAAATGGAAATATCAAATACCCCAGGCCATACTCTGCGGAAATATTGGATTGGATTGGATATTTGAAAAGAAACCAAATCAGAAACTACGATCCGTTCGTTTCCTCTTTCCTATTATATATCCAACTAATTAACCTTATATATATGTCGAGAAATGAGAGAAGGAGATGTCATGAAATGCCCATTCAAGGAGGAATGGCATAGGACTGACAAGAATATGAAAGATGCATGGTTTTGGCTTTTAATTTAAAACAACAAAATTTACACTGCATATACATACATGCAAACAATGCCAAGCTGGAAACAAATTAATTGCACTTTTGTTTGTAAGATAAGACAAACGGTATGTTTTGGTCATGGCCTCCTGGTTCGTTCATTGAAAGTTGCATGGTAAGAAAGTGAATCTTTAGAGATCCATCTATCTATCTTTTTCTTTTCTTTTTCTTTAATTTCCTATTTCCCCGTCTTTTTCCCTTTATTTGGGAAATGGTACGTTTAGAACCGGCCGATTTCTTGTACGTTATCTTGCTTGCGTCACCAATGACCTCAACTTCGATGCCATTAAGAATTTGATTGGGTTAGCATGCATTATGTTGTTATTCTTTTTCTTTTTTTTTTTCTTTTTTTGTGTGTGTGTGTGTGTGTGTGTGTGGAAAGCATGCATTATGTTGTTGGTATTTGTTTATTCATGATTTCAATGTAAATTCATCATACGACAAGTATAATAATGTAAATTGAGATTATAGGGATGTTAATAATAACGATAGAGCAAGGTGAATGTAGGGATGTTAATTGTATTCCTATCTGACATGGCAGAGATGGGGATACAAATAGAAGAAGGGGTGGGGATGGGGAGAATTTTTAATTCCTTGCCGAGGACGAGAACAGGGATGAGGAGTATTGTCCATGCCTCACCCTGTCCCCGAAAATATATATATATATATATATATATATATATATATATATATATATATATATATATATATATATATATATAAGTGTATAACTACATACATTTAAGCCCCACAGCACACAACATATAGCATATAGGTATTACTGTGTACATCTCATATATATAATTTCAGAAATATTATAGACATTGGATCTACTTGCCTTGAGATTTATTTTTTGGGATAAGGACATTTTAGTAGTACTTAATTAAGTTAATTGAATGTATATGAATTATATATTTAAATGTAGTTTAGTTTTTAATATTTTTATAAAATAGAAACGGGCTAGCTAGGAGATTCTCCATCTCCAGATAATTACCGTGGAGATAGGGATGGAGGGATTTTTTCTTTTCTTTTTTTCTTTTTTTCTTTTTTTGGTAGAGATTGGGACGATGATAGGAAATGACATAGAAAGTCAGGATAGGGGACAGGGATATGCCCCAGCCCCGTTGACATGGGGATGACATTTTTAAGTGAAGGAAATAGGTTTTTGATTACTTTGGGTGAACCAAATTAAAGAACTATAGTGTATTCAATTTAGCCAAATTTTGTTCTTTTCACTACTGGAAATTATAGAATTTCCGACCACCTGAAAGTGATCTTGAATCAAATTAATACCAAAAAGTGGTCGGAAATAGCAACAAAGGTTTTTCCGGATACCAAAAGTGGTCGGAACAAGGCTTTCGACTTGATTTAACATCACTTTCAGGTGGTCGGAAATTCCAGAATTTCCAGTAGTGTTTTTTTTTTTTTTTTTTTTTTTTTTTTTTAGTACATGGAGATTGTACTTATAGATCAGAATGAGTTTTAGCAATAACAAGAGATCTAATATATATGGTGTAGACACATGTCCGAAGACAATTCTCCTTGTATTTAGGGCTAGCATGCAACACAAGTATTATAAGACACTTAGTTGTAACAAATTTCATGTGTCCTTAACACTGAGAGATTAAGTAGGTTTGTCATATGTTCCAAGTGAGAATAAGTCAAATAGGTTGACTCAGGCTCAAGTCAGTACCTTATTACCAAGCTATAAGAGTTGATAATATTAAACTAAACATATCGCCAAATGTCTTGTGATTAAGTGACATAATTGTAACTCTCCCAAATGAGAAGTCACAGGTTCAAACTCCAATGAGAGCGTAACATAGTCAATAGTACTCAAGCCAGCCATTATTATGCTAACAGTTTTATTTCAAAATGTTGATTTTTTTTTTATAAGACAAAATGTTAAATTTTAATATGTAAACAAACTAATTTAAATTTTATGAAGATGTCATTTTTTTGTCTTTTTATATTTAACAGCTTATCAAAAACTTAATTTTACCAAACACTTTCAACATAACAATTAGCTTAACAACTCTTCAATTTTTAGCTACTAGCTTATAGCTTTTTAGCTTTCAGCTCCTTTTCAATTTTCAGCTAGGTTTGCCAATCATAGCCTTCATTTAATTAGGCTAGCCTAGGTTCAGTCCATTGTTTGAAAAGTAAGAATAACACTCGCCAACCCCTAATATAAGCTAACCCAATCCTTAGTCACAGTAGCAGTTTTCAACTACGAAAGGTTCTAATAAAGATCTTGGTATATGTTTGGCAAGATTTATATTACATTTTAAAGCATATTGAGAACAAATCACTTTTTCTACATTCCAATTTCACCCATGAGGCCGTGACACATCTTTTTATTTGATTGAAAATTTGAAATGACGACTATAATACAATTGATAAATTAGGTACCTCAAATTACATAATCAACAAAATCCGATAAGGTGTGTGAATATATATTATTCTAAACTTTTTTCCCCCTTTTTGGATACAAGAAATAAATAGTAGTTACAGTTGAAAGAATATTACACCAAGTGTGCCAATGCCACACCAATGTATGCAATAAGAATCAAGAGTTGAAAAATGCCATTTAGTAGGGAATAGAAGAAAAAAAAAGTGTAGGCCAAATAGAACAATAATATAACAACCTATGTCACTACAAGAAAATAACAAAGCACCTACAAATTTTACAACAGATTAAATAGTTACACAACTTAAATATTTACGAATTTAGTTTTTTTTTTTTTTTTTTTTACTTACAAAAATCTGTTGGTAAATTAAATATCTATAACTTTTAGTAATTTACCTATAAAGTTTTTTTTTTAAATGTGTATAATAACATTAAATGGCCACTAAAAAGAATTACATTTAATTAGAATTCAAACACAACCTATTATGAAAAACTGAAACCAATAATACAATAAAACACTTATCATATGCCAAAAGTTATAGCTAGTAATAAAGGAAATTATATTTCTTTATACTTACATAATAACCACTGTCATATTTAGAGAGTAAAATACTAAATGTGGCCCTAAGTCTTCCGCGCGCTCAAACTGACAAGACGTGTTTTGACCCCAATTTAACTCAAATAAAATCATATATATCTGTGATTTCAATTATCAATACACTAACATTATTATTTTTTTTTTAATCTCGTTCTTCAATTCATAAAATTTTGTTCCTATTAACCATGACGAGGAGTGTTGGAACTTGGAACCATATAATAAGTTGTCTGGTTTGTTAATGAAGATGGAGTTGATGAGTCCCTTCAAATAAATAAACAAAAGTCGTCATATGTAAGTGTCCACTTCGTCGCAGATTCTAACGTAGTAGCTTAGCAGTAATATTCCTTTGATCAACTGTACTGGTCGGGGTTTGAGACACCCCATTCAATGAACTAACGCACGTAAAGTGGAGTACTTGTACGCAACTCTCTTATGTGTGAACACTCACTTTAATTTATTCCTCCAACCAATTTCCCATCTATACTATTCAACTAATAATAATATACTAATTTTTTTGTCTATTTAATTAATTAAATATTATAAATAATTGAATTATGAAAAACTTCAGTCAAATATTGTTAACCGAAGTAGATACACAAAATGGGATAAATCAATATAGTATGTAACATGGTGTCAATTTTGCATTAAAGTTAGTGTGTGCAATTTTGTTTATAATTAGATTAAGGTTCGTTACCTTACAAGCATAGATTTGAAGTATAAAACTAGTTTCCAACCTACTATTAAAATTGGCATATAGTTTACATCACATTCCCTGCCTAAGTGACAATCTTTAAATAAATTTGAGTTTACCTCAATGGTGAATCGGTACTTTATGTTTGGCAAAGACTTGAAAGGTTTTTATGACAAACTTTTATAAATAAAATATTTATTTATTGTTTCTACAAAGGTTGAATTCTTAACCCAAGGGGCCCACATCCCAATCAGCTAAACATAGAGGCTGGAACCACGGGCGCTTGTGAGACTCGATCCTAGGCCAGGTTATTATTCTTAAACTCCACTCAACCAACTGAGCTGCCCATGCAGGCATAAAATATTTATTTATAGTTGTATGGAACATATATAAATTGCAATTAGGGAATAATCAAAGCACTCAATTAAGAAAGCATGTCACCCTTTTGTGAAATTTTACAAGCTGTAATTTTTGTACGAGGCATCACCTTGATCAGATCATGGCCTCAACTTAAAAAGAAACAAACAAACAAACAAAAAAAAAAAAAAAAAAAAAAGTACACAAATTACAAAACACCCCAGACAAGAACTAACTAAAATGGCACCCAAAATATCAAAAATAAAAAACAAACGAGAGAGAGAGATGATGAATTGGGATAACCCAACGGGTAGAGACAGACAGACATATATGATATATCTACATATCTCTGACTTCGAACTCATTCCTGTTTTTGACGACAATATCGTACATGTGGATAGACTTGAACTTCTTAAAATCCTTTGGAAGGGAAATGAGGTGAACCGTTGATCGCTTGTGGTACTGGAGGAGTTCGGGGTCGTCGTAGTAGCGTTCCCACCCCAGGGCCAACAGCTTCCGCTCCAGGACGGCGTACGAGGTTATAACCTCGTTGGTCGGGAGGTGGACCAGCATTTTCCGGCCCTGCCACTCGCCGGGGTTCTCCACCAGCCGGACCACGCCGTTGTTGAACACCCAAACGCCGGACATGATGATGATCGGAGACGACGGAGAGCGGCGGGAGTACGTGATTAAGGGAGCTGAGGCCGGGGGTGCCTTCGGACTGAGGAGATGATGATGATGATGACTTGAGAAGAGAGGAGCGAGTGGATGGGGGTTTATATAGGGGCCTGTGAGCTTTCGTTGTCCAAAAAATATAAAATAAAAATTACAAGTATTCAATTTTTTATTTGGGGTTTTCTATTTGAGTATAGGCAATGGGAACATGTTCCTCCTATCAAAAGTGATAACTCTGAGGAAATTATTTAGTCTATGTTGCTTATAACTGATAGACTTAAACTAAAAATATTAATGGGTCATGCTAACCAAGTCTAATGGTCTGACCAACTTGATTTATAAAGTTATATTTTTTAAAAAGTAGGTGTTTACATGTTCCTTCTCTCAAGACCAACCGTTTATTTATATAATCTCTATTTTCTTTTTGTTATGTATGGCTAGAGATGAGCTGATTGTGTATATTTATGCGCGCGTACACATACATATAAGGGGTGGAGAGAGGTGAGGGCTAACTGTGCCCCCATTACCCTCCCTCTAGATCCGAGTGTGATGGTAGTGGTGGTGGTGGTGATAATAATAATCCAGAAACAAGTTTGAAAAGAGATGAGAGAAAAGATAATAAATACAAGGAAAATACAATAAATTTAATAAGACATTTTTCATCAAAATGAGTGTTTTTTTCCATTGACCTGAATGAATATTTTTTTCTTGATTTTATTTTTTTTGAATACCTACACACGAAAAATTTTAAAAAATAACTTACAGAAGCTATTTTTCAGATTTCTATACGAACCTTAATGAAAAACTTCATACGTTTTCATGGATTACCTTTTTATTAAAAAAAAAATTAAAAATATGACAACACCAAAATAGGAGCCAACTTTTTAAATAAATATATATTATATATGTGTGTGTGAGAACAAGTATTCTCATAAAAAATGTGAATTAATGCTAGACATACGTTGATTAGAAATAATTAACAACTTTAATGAAAAGGAAAAACGTGATAATCTTATAAACGTTACAAACTTCAAACGTGCATCATGCATAACATCATAATGTTTTTGAGGATATATAAAATTGCACTCAATATACTCAAAATTAACTTGTTAAATTTAAACGTATTAGACAACATTACTCCACATTTTTTACAAGAAAACTTATTCTCACTTCTTATGTTATATGTGAGTGTGAACACACTGCCTCTGGACACATGTCCAATAGATATAGTTTGGTTTAAGAGGACCTGATTTCTGGGGAAAAAGGTCGATGTTGAACTTATAAGACCATGTGAAGCCTCCGGATTTCTATATCAGTTTGTACGTTTTGGTTTTTTCTTTTTGTTCTTCCTTATAATTCTTTTAAAGCCCTTCAAGAGTAGGTACATTGAATCTTGTTTTTTTATTTTTTTTTTGGGAGGCAATATTTTATAACACAGAATTTTTCTTTTTAGTCTTTTACTTACTAGAAGTACTAAAATGGAGGATATAATTAATAAAACAAGGAGTACATATATACCTAGTACTACAATTTAGAGTAGTGCATGATATGCCTTAAAATATTATATAAAATTGTATTTTATTAGTTATTAAATGAGTATTTTTTACTATTTAATGACGACAATTTATATCAGCGATCAGGATTCACATAGCATTATGGATCCTGAATTAAAATAACGAGGTACAAAATTCATACTCATAATTAAGGTACAGAATTTCATAACATAAAACACAAAAAATCACAACACAACACACATAGCATAACATTATGGACACAACTGGATTGAAAAGACGAGGTATATAATTCATACTGATAAGGTACATAATTTAATAACACAAGGCACATACACATGTTATATATTTACTTATTTTTCAAATATGATTTAGGTACATAATTTGTATTCATATATAAACACAGATTTTCACAACACAAGACACATAAATTCATAACATAAGATACAATTACTAATTCATTCCAGTTATAGAATTTATACGTATTCTTAAGGTAAAGAATTTCATAACACAAGACAAAAAGTCATAACACAAAACGCATACACTTGAATCAGGATCCATAGTGCAGTGTAAATCATGGTCCATGGTATAAGAATTGTTTAACTACTATTTAGGCCTAATTTGTAGAATATTTTTTTAATGGACCATGTCAATGTGGGATCATAGGTCATTTCCAAAAATACAAGATACATGTACATGGATCATTAACGTTAAAATGATACCCAATGCAATAATAATTTTTCATATTAAAGAAAAAGAAAAAGAAATATAAAAAGCTTTGGTTGGACAATCAAAAGAACTCATATATATCAATCTTTTCATTAATTTAGTTTATGACCAACTATATAAACTTTGACCATCCAAAGAATTATTTATTTTGTAAATAAATTGTGCTATATATGTCACATAGGAAAGACAATTCATATTAGCTAGTCTTGTGAGTATCTATTCTTATTCGACTTTTGTCATTAAGTTTGTATATAAAATTTTCATTCATTGTTGATGGTAGATCAAATTTATTTATGACATTCTTCTTACACCTACCATTTCACCTATTGTGATAAGTTGTATATTTTAATATAATATTTATAGTGGTATTATTCGATTTAGTCCTCGATGAAGAAGAAGAGGAAATTAGGAAAGTAATCTGACAAAAATTAAAGGGAACACAAATTACCATGTTAACCCTGCTACTAACAGCCAACAAACGGAATTATTAACAGAAGACTAAATTGTGTAAAGCCATCAAAATTGATAATTAAATTAAGCACAAAAAGTAACTTAGGACTAAATAGAGTAAAACTACTATAGTCGAGGATTATATTAGGTATTAACTCCTCACATAATATCAAGTTTGAAAAATTCGCTAGGCGCACGCCCGATTTTTTTTTTTAAATTTAAAAATTATTTAAAATCCCGCCGAGGGCGCCTAGATGACCGCCTAGTCCACGGCGACCTACTCGGCCCATAGGTTGCCTAGAGAGCTTAGGCGGCCGACCGCCTAGAACTACGATTCTGTTGAATTTCTAGGCAGCCGACCACCGCCTAGCGCCTAATCGGCGCCTAGGCGTGATTTTTGCAACCCTGCATTATATATGATATATATTATGTTATAAGAAAGTGTTTACCAATACGCTAAAAGTTATAGCTATTAGCAAAGACACACATTTACTTTCTTATACTTGAGTAGCAGTTAGCGCCATATTTTGATAGCAGGATGTTGGACTTGGACTTCTAAGCCTCCCCGAACATATTAAAATTTGCAAATGAAAATCTAGCTTATGAATATAATTGAAAGATTATATTGTGTTATTATTTTGAAACATTTGTTGTAAATAAATTTAATTGAACATTTAGAATATTAAAATTAACTTTGTCAAAACTCTATTTAAGAAAATATTTAATTAAATTTAACATATGAAAAATAATTATACTTATTTTATTTTTATTATCAATGTAAAAGCTACTATTCAAAAAAAAAAAAAAAAAAAAAAAAAAGACTATATATCATGCAATAGGTGAAGAGTAGATACTCAAAAATTTCCTTCTAAGTGAGATGGACTGCATAGTGAATGTATAATTAAGGTCCTTCAATCCAAACACGACATGATTCATTTGTCATTCTTAATATCTTGATATAATATAAGAAAGTTGTAGACTCTATTCAAATTTGCACTCTAAATAAAGCTTACCTTATCACTACAATCAACAAATAATCACAATGAAATAATTCAGATTGATCAGATTTTTATTTTTCTTTAAGATTTCCTAATTTATCCTTAATGAATATGATTTTCCGTTAACTTTTCTGTTAAATATTATCTTTTCCGTTAATTTCTGTTAGTTCATCGTTAACTTACTCATTGATTTCAATAAAAAAGGTCTTAGGTTCGAACCACATCCCAATCAAAGTTGGCATAATTAATTAGTACTCTATTTTACTCTTACTAAATTAAATAATAATTTAGTAGCTACAACAAAAAATAATACATATGCCTTTATTTAATTTAGAATTATGTGTCTACAATGTCTTTATTCAAAAAAAATTATTCATTATCAATAAATTAAATAAAAGAAATAATTTCATTAGTTATATTGTATTTATTTTTCTCCAATATAAAAATTCTTTACATTCAAACTCATCAATTGATTATATTCGCTACATTGTCCCTACAATGTCTTTATTAAAAAAATTATTCATTATCAATAAATTAGTTAAGAGAAATAATTTTATTAGTTATATTGTCTTTATATTTTTCCAATGTACAAATTCATCAATTGATTATATTCACTACATTGTCTATTATCTTTTTTGTGCATTATTTTTTAATTAAATATCAAAGTTATAGTACAAAATAGTGCTATATATTTATTTACCAAGTATTTTATTAATACGATGAAAAAATTTAAAAAATATAATTAATAAAGTCAATCATATTAACTACATGAGGGATTTGTTGACAAAGAGAGTATTCAAATCACAAAACAAATTGAAGTGAGAACTACATCGCAATGTTCTTGTTTGGCAATCAGCAGTTAGCTCTTTAACATGTAAAATGACTTAAGGGTATACATATATTTAATAATAATAATAATAATACTAATAATAATAATAATTGTTTTTAAAAAATAAAGAAATAAAAAAAATGTAATTAAACCAATCATATTAACTACTTGGAGATTTATTGACAAAAAGAGTATTCAAATCACACAACAAATTAAAGTGGAAACTATCTCGCAATGTTCTTGTTTGGCAATCAGCAGTTAGCTCTTTAATATTAGTATATATTTAATATTTTATGCCCTAATTTTTATTTGCTCTCCCTTATGTCCCGTATTTGGTTTCAACCATACCTATACAATTATTTTATTGACAATTATAACAATCTTGACTATATTATCTTGCATTTGTAAACTTAGAATTGCCTATTTAAATACGCAAATTTAAATTCAATTATCTATGCATGAACAATTTCAATATAATCTTGCATTGATATACTTTAAAGTACTTATTAAAAAAAATATTGGGCATTATCTCAATCGCATAAAAAACTAG